AACAGTCACAACCACTCTAAAAAAGCTTCTGTTCCTTCACATATCATCCGAAGGAACTATACAGTGCAGCAAGAGCCAAAAGAACAAAAGTGCACCAGGAGCAACAGCATGAAGCATTTCAGGGTCACAGATGCAACCAAAAGCAGTATGAAGAGCCCCTGATTACAGCATCCTCTTGAGTTTAGACATGTCCCTTTTAGGAGAAAATAGACTTAATTTAGATTGTGTAATCTAAAGTCACACAGCAAGTCATCTGGCCAACACCACTTGCATCTTACATGATATCAATCCCCCGTGTTCATTACTTGAGAAGCTGGGTGATGGCACGAGAGAATGAGGCTATCCTCTCGAGCATTCAAATTACAGCCTTCAAATATGGAAAGCCACAAAAGCAGAGGGGACCCAACAGCAATCAGCAGGTGAGCACACAGTAGTGCAGGACCCTCCTGATGTTTCAAAGAGTAGCAAAGGACATAGATTACATTGGTGAGGGAAATAAGCTTTTCCTGAAACACACTACAACTTCACACTGCACCTAATTAGTGTCCACCTGACTCTCTGCTACGTTACCTCCCCAGTCACTTGCTGTATCAACAGTCTGGGAGCAACTGCTTCAAGAACAAAAAGCATCCCCTCCTCTATCCCAAAAGCCCTACAGATGAGAAAACGGCATAAAAATAACAAAATATTTCATTATAAGTAGCACACACCCAAAGCAGAGCAAAGAAGTAGCTACAGCACTTTCTTGCTAAAAAACTGCAGGGGAATAACTGCAAAACAAGTCTTTGACATAGTGCTCCAACTCACATAACTCAAGCAATTCATAGCAGAAGTGACTGGCTCAGATACCTACCTGGAATAGGTGACAAAACCTCAATTGACCTGGATTACACCACTAAAGGAGAAAACTGAACCTTGCCATGGAAGTAGCAATACGGGAATGCAAAACAAATCCAAGAGCTCCCTGCTGCGCTCCTGCATGCTATAAAATTTGTTCACTCCCACAGGGTCTCAGAAGGTAAAAAGCTCATCAGTGAAAGTGCATTTCTGCAAAACCTCCTCTAATTTAGACAAGTGGTGACCTTGGTGCATTTTAGCCACGCAAAACAGGGTCCCATCCTCCATAGCTTAGAAACTCCACAAAACAATTACACATCAGTGACCTGTATAACAGCTCTGCTGACTGCATTTGCATAGGTTTCTCCATTGACTGATGAAAGGCAGAAAGACCCTAAGGGTGGAAAGAGCCCCCAAGTTCATTGTATGGAAGGTCATGTTTCCAGGAATTTAAATTAGCCTGTACTTATAACCAGTCTTCTGAGGACTGAACATGTTTTGGTAATAACATGGCAGAAACTGCTAACTGTGAAGTATTTAGATCTGTGGACTGAACACAGGCTACTTGTTTTTCTTGCCTTACAGGCTCTCTGAACACAGCTTCTTGGTGAAAATAAGGCAACAGTCTAGCAGATAGCAAATACACAACAGTCCAAAGAGCAAATGCTATCAGTGCCGACTGATACTGCTGAGGTGTAAGGAGGGGTGTCAGATGATGTTAATGCAACAGTTTCAATCCTCAAGAGCTTGGTGAAGCTTCACACAATTCATCCAGCAGATGAAAAACAGGTCAGAATAACAGGATATGCTGCTAGAAGACTTGTAAGACTTGAGTGTCTTGCTGAAATGCCTCAGCCACCCAGCAGCATTCCTCACCACCAGTAAACAACTCCACACGCGGAGCACTTTGCATGTTCTGGAGAAGTCTTTCCCCAAAAGTAAAAACTGATGTTCCTTGGGTTTGTTAGATAGTCTTTAATTCTGGAAACCAGATATATTTTGCCCCAAATAAGGAGCAAAAATTAAAACCTAATCTTTGAAGAAATTTAAACTGAGTTTAAATTTAACAGAGTCTAAATATTTAAACTGTATTCAAAATTTTAAATCTATTTTAATGTTCTGAGGATTAATACAGCATGAGATCCAAGAAACACCTGCAAGAACTGCTAAACACAGAGTAGGCCTTAAATCACACCCCACTTCAAGAAGGATCCAAGCAAATCCACGCCAGGAAATTAATGGCAAACTAAGGCTAGCATATTTGCTTTTACAGAGAATTTCATCACAGGATCACCACCAGCCCCCTCCGCTACAAGCCACTGTCTGCAGCCAACTGGGGGTTTTCTGAGTTTGACTGCCTATAGATAAGGCAGACAAAGCTCAAAGTAGAAGTGAAATGTAAAAGAAACACAATGAATAAAAGTTGAGTAAGTGTATTGCACTGTCTGACATTCTGGAGTCAGGATAAAACCCATTATCCCACCCTGTGTATTCCCACACATCAAAACCAGAGAAACCTAGACAAATAATGGGAGAGAGCCCCAACCCCCTTTGTGTAGGTAGGTACTTACATATATTGCTCCTAACTGAGTCCTGTCTGCATCAAAAAGCTGGTAGTAATGCTGTACAAAGCTGGACCCAATCTGCTCCCAGATAGGCTTGTCTCCCATTCTGAATCCTCACCTAAAGCCAGTGACTGTAAAGCAAACAACAAAAAAAATTCATCAGAACAAACAATCACATAAATAAGCATCGCACTTGACTTGAGTATTAAGCATCAGTAAACACAGATTCCCTCAGCTGGCCAGAATTTTTCTTTGGAATAAATAGCACAAATCTCACCTCTGTATCCTAGACTTTTGTGAAGTAAAAATCTTGGATACCAAATGGTTTAATTTCTTATTATGGTGTTTGCTGATTTCTAGCACTATTTCAGTGTAAGGTCACAACTCACGTACAAAAGTGGAGAACAAGAACAAAAATGAGTAAGTGTTACCACCTTATATTCACTGATTTAAAAAATTACACCACCTGAAAAAGTTGGAAGCGCTTGCTATTTTGACTTGATCTCATTTACTATAAACAACAGACTTGTTAATATGGATTGTCTGCAAGTGGCTTACACCAACTGATTTACCTATTCAGTTCCTCAGGTATTTCACCATCCACAGGCCATTCTAAGGAAGAGCATCCTTTCAATTGTACCCAACAGGAGTTAATTCACTAGTTCTTTGCTTAACACAAGCTTACTTACCTCTTCTATCCTGTCACTAAGGCTGAAGTACACTCTACATTTATCTTTGAACCTGTAGTAATTTCAAGATACAAACCATGATTTTTCACAGTGGTGAGAATCTGCAGTTCCCAGTGAAGGTACTGGAAGCTCAGAGGCATCCCACACTTCTGTCCCTCTATTTTAGAGGGATTAAACATACAGCACGTGCAGCAGTAGAGACAGACCCAGTCTAGAAACTAGCATGCACGATCAGTACAGATGACTGCTTTACCATTAAATTTCTCAAGAAAGCAAATTCATTTTTTCCGATATGTCTCTGAAAGACTGAAGAATTGTGCTAGAATTCAAAACACCACAGTGCTGTGCTCAAACCCCACTACATTACATTTTAAGATCTGAGTTTACTTCAAGCAAACTAAACAATACTTGCTAAACATCAAGATCTGTCAGCCACTAGTCTCTCTTTGCAATCCCTGACCAGGAACCCATGAGCTACAGGTCTGTATTGCACTGTGAGTCTGGAAAGGCATGAAATTCTGTTTTAGGACACAGGACATGACAGTTATTTTGGCTTCCTTTAGATGTCAATTACTCACACACCTGTTTAAGATTTGACAAATTCCTAAGAGAAGCAAAAACCATATTCCTAAGATCTCCACAGCTAGTATTACCAGGCCTAGCCTTCTATGCAGTCAGGCAAGAAAGATATTTTCATATTTTAGGCCTTTAGCTGTTTGAGCTTTACTCATACAAATGGGAACTGAAATGGGTTCAAACCCTAGGCCAGAGGTTTTAAGGTTACACAAATTTGGCCAGACTTACAGAAAGAGCAAATATCTTATTAGATCAATGGCATAACAGGACATAGCATACAAGTTTTCAGGGTGGTAAATTCAACTACCAAAGTAAAATACAAACCAAGAACAACTGCTAGAGCTTAGACACCCAGACTACTTGAGGGAGAAAATGGCTGACATCTGTGGAGCAGAGAATGTGACAGCATAGAGCTGGCAAGGTGGTTCTCCCTGCTAAGAAAGGGATGTTTTGTAGCCTGTGAGAAGGGCAGAGGAGGAGGAGCTTGGGTTGTGACAATGCACCACAAAAGCATACCACAGACTCTGTGATTTTTGACATCCAACTGATGCTGGCTGCATGCTAGTTCAAGTGCAGCGTAGAAATGCATTTTATGTATTAAATACATTATGAAATTAAATTAAATGTATTATGAAATATATTAAATGTATTTTAGAGCACAGGTCTTATGAAGAGCAGCTCTGGGAACTGGGGTTGTTTAGTCTGGAGAAGAGGAAGCTGAGGGGAGGCCTTATCGCTCTCTACAACTACCTGAAAGGAGGTTGTGTGAGCTGGGTGTTGGTCTCTTCTCCCAAGTAGCTAGTGATAGGACAAGAGGAAATGGCCCCAAGCTGCACCAGGGGAGGTTTAGATTGGATATTAGGAAAAATTTCTTCACAGAAAGAGTAGTCAAGCATTGGAACAGGCTGCCCAGAGAGGTGGTGGAGTCACCATCCCTGGAAGTGTTCAAAAAACAGGTAGACGTGGCACTTTGGGACATGGTTTAGTCTAGTCTACCCTTGATTGGTTTAGTGTGGACTTGGTAGTGTTGGGTTAATGGTTGGACTGGATGATCTTAAAGGTCTTTTCCAACTTAAACAATTCTATGATTCTACAAGGTCAACAATGAACTTAAGACAGAAACATACCTATCCTATTTTTAAACATCTTTATTTCAATATCAACCACCTAGGCAATACAGTCAACATCAAACTCAGTAACCCTACACACTGACGTAGACTAAAACTTCAAAGACTTGTTGCCACATAACTAATATTTGAACTGCTCCAAAAAGCTCTACAATCTGGCATCGGTCACTATCAGATGTGCTCCACTAATTCTTGCAATACGTGATTCAGTCTGAAGAAGTTTTACCCAGTGTGGTCACTCCTCTGGGAAAACAGTTCACAAATTAAAAATCCATCCAAGTACAGCAGGTTTAAAAAACAAAACACACGCACAACCCTGAACAACTTAAACCTACTTCTTTACAAGAGAAAAAGTTGTATTGATTGCATATCCTTAATTGCCACATACCAGCCTAACCTGGAGCAGGTGTAGAAATCAAAGAACTTCAGCCTGTATTAAAGGTTTTTATGTTGAAAGAAAACTACCTAAGACCATCACACCAACTTCCTGGAAACTTTACTGAGTGATGCCCACCCTGTTAGGGATGACTCTCATGTCTTGTTTGGAAAACCAGAAAAACTAGTATTTAGTTTTGAAGTCTGCTGTTTCCATTCCAGACTTGCAGGTACCTAGATGTGTGTACCTTGGGATGATTGTGGTGGAGCCAACAACCAGTCCAAGTGAAAGTCACTTCTGTTCCCTTTTTATGGATTGCCACAGCTTCAACTTCAACCCATGAACTCACATCACTATCAGATACCCTTCCTAAACATTCAAGTGCAAATCTAGTTGACAGTATCAATGTTCAACAACCGCATATCTACCACTGACATGAAGCAGTGAACAGCAAAAAGCCCACCAGCTTATTCTCCTGAAGCTCAAGTAAATTAGCTATTGCTAAATTAAATTTCACACACACACAATGTGTATTCACCCTTAACAGCCCACTGTACCATCATATGAACCCAAGATCAAGATGTATGTTAGCACTGCACCTCGTTTATAGACCCAGAGGCTTTCAACTCCTCCAGGCACAACAGCCTCACTCAAGCACCAGATGCCTTCTGTTCAATCCTGAAACTGTGAGAAAGCCTTTGAGGCTGCAAGAAATTAAATAATTTGTATTTTAAATACAGAAACTAGTATTATGGTTTCTAAAACTAAAAATCAGTATGCTAGCTTGCTATCTCCTTCTAAAAAATGTACTGGTATTTTGGCAGGTAAAATAGCATTAAATAATTCTAAAGAACAGTATAAATATGACCAGTTATAATGTTGATTTTGCCAGAAGTGAGAACCCAACTAAAAAAAGTGCTGCTGAAATTAATGATCCTTGATTAATTTTTTTTTGTTGTTACAACCTTGCTCTTTTTCCTGTGCCATTCATATATAGTTTTGCTGAACATTCTCACTCTCTCTGGAAAGGTTTTTTTTCTTTTCCGATTGTCACCTTTTCCTCCATGCTGTCTTATGTTTTCTGCCTGTCAAAGACGTAAGAAGCTTAGAAATGTACCTAAAGAAAGAACAAGATAGGAATGATCTTGTGTGTCACCAAGCCCAGTCCCTTTTAATGAGATACAATCCATTTAAGATTGTATTGATACATTTATCAGTCTGTTTTAATGAGATAAATGTAATATAAAAGGCTTTTAAGATCTATTCCAAAGCTAGGAAGAATGCGCATGTTCTGATGTTGTCAAACACTACAACACATCTGTGCCTCAGAGCCATCCAGCCAAATCTATCTGTAGTTTGCTCCAAGTTTGGTTACAGAGGCAAGAATATTCAGTTAATATTAAGCCAGATAAAAGAAGTTTCAATAAGCTAGAAAGCATGTAAAATGTGGCACACCTGTCCTTTTAAAGGCACCTCCTGAAAGTTACCACTGTGTAAGTGTATTATTGGATATTCCACCTTAATGCCCCATGGAAAGGGAGACAGTTTCTTTAAGCTAATTAATTTTCTTTCCTTTGTCACTTCAAACCAAACCTACCTCATCACATCCACTTAAGAACATCACAGCCCATTTGATTAACAGCTTCTTCATAGAAGCACAGCAGAAAAGCTGAGCTACCAACATGGAGTGTAATACTTTAACTCACATTACTCAGTTTCTTGGAATCCACTCATATTAGAGAACATATCCCCACCTCAAATACCACCCAGCAGTCAGTGCTCAAGCTGAAACCCAATACAGTGCACAAAAGCTTCAGCTGCCAGCAACTCTCTTCAACAGGTATATGCTGACACTGCAGAAATGGGATTGCTGCTCCACAGGGGACTTTTCCTCAGTGACATACAGATCAAATTTTCCAATCCCTTTGCCAGGCCACACACTGACACATCCTCAAGTATAAACTCTGGCCCTCTGCACATCTCTCACCACACTTCCTACAGCTCTCATCCTACACAGTTCCATGGTATCTCCAGTACCCTCATCTTATGTTCATCCCTCATCCTGGCACTGCCACTGCTGCACAACACTTTGGGGTACACAGCATCCCTGAACACACAGCGAAGCTCCTGTATTCAGCATCCCGCAGCACAGGAGAGGGAATTCATACCCTAAACCATGCAGAACTTCCCAGTTCCCCACAACACCAGGCTTTCCTACATGCAGTCACAGACACCCCCCACCCCCACCCCCCCCCACCAACAGGGCTTCCACAGGGCCCCACAATCCCGGCAGCCCAGCCCACACGGTCTATACTGCCCAGTGCTTCTGTTGCTGCTCAACCCTGCCAAATTGTCCAATGCTACACTACATCCTGAAGCCTCTCTCCTTCCGTCCCCACAGGCTCCTCCAGCTTACTGTGCCCTGTGCCACCAGCCATGCTGGTCCAGGAGGGAGACAACTGCTTGAATTAAGGTCCCCCTCATCTGCTTTGGCAAGTGGCAGATGGCACCAATATGATGTGAAGCTGCGTGACCCAAACAGTAGTAGCAGCAAGGAGGAAAGAAAGGTACGAGACAGAGGAGGACTGGAAGAGAAAGGAGCCTTCACATGGGCCATGAGTGACCTTGAATTAGATTAGGGTTACACTGGCCTCAGGCAACAGATTTTCTGTCCACAAAATCCAGAAACACAGAATCTTTCCCATTGCCTGTCACAGCTTAGACGTTCCTATCTACACTCATCCCTCTTCCTTCTGTGCCTTAATTCTGGGCATGAGAGATCACCACGAACACACCAAGACTGCCCATAGCTCCTAAGGGGTACACAGTCCTTAAAAGACCCATTTCTGTAAAATGGTCTGGAGGAAAAGTCTTCCCAATTGCTTCCTTCAACAAACAAGAGACAACGAAACCACCTGGAGACAATTCTCTGTCAGCATGCTGCAGCACAAAGTCCATCTTTCTGCTCAAGCGGCATCACCAGAGCTACTCAGAGGTCTAACTTGAGGAAAAGCCACCTTTTTACTTGGAAAAAGTAGAAAGAGTCTCCTGCCAACAGAAAATAAACAGACAGCTTTTCCTGAAACGTGTAAGCACCAGTGATATTTGAGCATTTGGGCTATCTGAACATCTCTGCAGTATGGAGAAAGACCAAATAATTGTTTCAACCACCAGCTGCATTTACTGCATTATCAGAGCTGGACATATGTAAGCTTACTGCTATCAATTAAAAAAATTTGAGGCTTTTTGAATTCTAGTGTGGCAGACCTGCAGTTCTATAAAAATCCTACATTTTCTGAAAATGTCAACAAAAACTTGTATGAACAGTAGTAAAGTATAATGTAAATTCCTAAAGAAAACAAAGGTGGTCTCCCAGAGATTGCCACATTTAAAAAGCAAGCTGCATTTGAAGAATTAATGAACAACCATCACAGGCAAATAAGCTCAGTAAAGACTTTCTGATCTGCGGAACATCAGGAAAGAAAACACTGAATTTAAAGAGGAAAAACTTCAAACCAATGCATTCTAACATGCTATTGGAGAAAAAGATTGCCATCTAATCTCCAGTTATGACCACACTTATTCCACAAGTAATCAGACCATAAAAAAAAAAAACATGCTCCCTGGATATTAAAGCCAGCCCTACACATCACTGCACCAAAGTTAAATTCTCTTAAGATTGAATTCAAGCTTGTGTTTTGGAATATTTGAAAATCAGTGTTACAAGCACCAATGCTCCCTTTGAATTGGTGCTATTGGTCCAGGGGTACATGTGAATCCATGGTAAACATGATTTAGACCATCAGTTGCTGCACCCTTCACTACTGATTAACAGTAAATAAGATGACAAAAGAGCTCTCAGTTGTTTCAGTTCCTGTTACTCATGCAATTTCTACCATGCATGTATTTTTTAATCGCTCAGATTAAAAAGAGTGAGCGGTCTTTTGGCTGCAGTAAAAAAAGAAAAAGTAAAGCAGCAAACAGTTTTTAGACTATTTTTCCTTCAACCTCTTTTCTATTGCCACTAAAACTTGCAAAGATAGGAGCATCTCCTGTGCACACTTTCTAGGAACACAATGGAACCAGCATCACAGGACCAGTTAATCTTCTCTCAAACAGATCATCTATTCAACTACACCAAGAATCACTTGATCATCTTCCGTTAGAAAAGGCATACACTCTAAACAGAAGAAACTACGCAAATTATCAGACTAATTCAGGTTGTAAGGGACCTCCTTCAGCTCAAAGCAGGGTCAGCTAGGAGATCAGACCAGGCTGCCCATGCCTTTATCCACTTTGATCCCCCAAAGCTCTGATGCTGGAGACTAAATAACCTCTGTAGGCAACCTGTTCCAATGCTTGACCCTCCTCATGCAGAGGGCAGCTCTCCTGTGTCCAACAAGAATCCTTTCTGTTCCAATTTATTGGAACAATTCCCTTGTCTCCTGTGCTCCCACCAAGTACCCCGGTGAAAAGACTGGCTCAATTTTTCTGATAATGGTCTGATAGATATTGGAGGCTAGGATTAAGCCCCACTCAAGCCTTCTCTAAATGCAGGCGGAATGCATGTTAACACAGGGATGATGAAATACTGGAACTACATCATCATTCATTCATCTTAAACACACTGTACCTCTTTCTGAGAAAGTCCAATTTAGTGGTTAGTCTTTCTCCGTTTGAAAACCTATGAAATTTCCAGTTGAGGAGCCAACTCATGCATTCAGAGGCTGAAAGAAAGAAGTGTTTCTTTTAGGTATCTTCGCTATCATCTCCACAGTAGCTGACTGATCCATTGAGGTTAATGATCTGAAAATTACTGCTCCAGGCAAACCAGAAAATTATTGATTTCAACACAGACCTTCACCTAGTAATTGCTATGGGCTCCGCTGTGCAAGAAATTACATTATTCTAAATATGCTTTCAGATAATTAAGTCTAGATATGTGAACAGTGGAAGGATGGAAAGGGAGAAAGGGGAAGAGTGACAAGGCGCAAACTGTTTCCTTCTGAAAAATATGGAAAATAAATTGACTTTCCCCTTCTCAGTTTTTTTAGTCCTCTACTCCAACTTCATTAAAACAAATTCATGCAGGAATTATGCCAACCTGAAGGTTTTTGGGTTTTTTTTTTTTTGGTTACAGATGCCAGCAAGTAAAAGGCCACTAGTAAAATAAAACACATGGGGAGGGCTCTGGAAAAGCTTTCAATGTGCCTACAGCTTGATGCTCATCCTATCTGCAACCTGACAACCCAATAGAGCTACAAACAGTCAGAAGAGAGGATTTTCAAATATGTAGACATATAATATATTACATATAATTGGATAGGAAGACATAATGCCACAACGCTACACATCTGGCATTTTTTTTTACACAGTATTCTTGCTGCAATCCAAAAACTGAATTCAAGTTTACATGGCCAAAGTCACATCTCTCTTCCCCAGGATGAACCCAAGACTGCTCAGTTTTAAAGTAACAGAGGAAGCAACAGGGGACTGTAGGGGGGAACTCCTGCACCACATTTTTCTTTACCTTATAGGCCCAGTAACATAACATTTAATCTCCAAGAAACAGCAGAATAGAAGATATTTCTATCTATCCATCTCTATCATGACAGCTGTTTCAGGTTAAGAGAAAATTAGGAACTGATTTTAAAGTTACAGAAGCAAAGATGTCATACTACAGGTATAACCCTTTTCTCTCTATCAAATCATTGCTTAAAAATTAACCAGGTTTGTTCATGAACTTAGCAGCAAAATAATATTCAGTATTAATTTTTATTCTGAATAGAACTTCTATCAAAAACTGTAGTTTAACCCTTGCAACTTTTCTTGTGGTTCACGTCTGAAGTTTGGCACATTTGAAAACAATCACTATTGTAGGTTTGTTAAAAGTAGATAGTTGTGTAAATAACAGCCCTGAATTAGATAGCACGAAGGTAGTCACACGGTGCAGTGATAAACAGAAAAGGACCTAGACAACATTGCTATTTTGCATTATATTATCCCATAGTCTTAGGTTTAGCCACAGCATTCCTCTATTATTGATTGGCAGCATTCAAAGTATGGAAAATTTTCTCCAATGTGCTTTATGATCCACAAGATTTTCATGTGTGTAAGCAAGGCTTGTTATACCTCACCTGCAAATGACTGGTCTCCAATCTTTGAAGATTTTCCAAATTTCCAAAATACACCTAAAAAAAGTCACTGAAACATTTTGTATGGTGTCTACATAAACATCTTACACTTCCAAAACCATGTTTCTTGTCCTGCTTTGCTTCCTTTTTTTCCTCCCCTGCAACACACAATAGCCCTGCTTCCAGAACATGGTATGTAAGCACGCAAACTGGTCAGGTACAAATATGAATGTCAAAACTGCCTGTGATGCCCCAATATTTAGGAGTTTTAAAACAACTGAAAGAAATCATGGTTACAAGTGTTACCAGTTATTAGTATATATCGCAATTCTTACACAGAACATACTCAACAGTACCACTAACCAGACAATCCTATTATTAATGCCAGAGACAAAAGAAACCCCAGCAGAGAGAACTGCAGAAAGTTGTTACCATTTGCATTTTTCTAGAGAACTGAACAGACACAGATGTTAAAACAAATATATTTAAAATTATCTATCGAACAACTTGCAATCTTTGAGGGAGGAACATGAAATAATAATTAGGACCCCAGCTGGAAAATAGGTAAATAGTCCTAAAGTAAGCCAAAATGTCATTGTACTTTAAATTAATTATGTTTTTCACCAATAATATTATATACAGTAATTTCTCTACTTCTGTGCAGATATGTGAAGTGTCTTTTCTGTTGCTGCTAAAAGAAAACGTAAAATCACCACACACAAACATAGAAAGCATTGCCTGAACACAACTCCTCCCAGAAAAAGAGAAATCAAGAAAGTACCAACTTGCGAAGGTGGCTGATTCAGCAATCAGATTTCTTTCAAGCAACAGTTCTGCAACCAGTTCCTATTCCTCTTCAGGCATTTACCTGGGCTTTGCTCCCATTCGACAGCAACACAATGTATATGCCACAAATCCAACTCTAAAATACACATTTACGCTGGAAGTGATGGACTTCAAATGAGAATGAACAGTTAAAGCATTGCAGCCTGCCTTAGACAGAGAGTTAAATCTGAATTGCAAGAACAGCATCTTTGGGACTTAGTGACTTCAGAAAGCTCTCTCGTATTAACAAAATGCAACATACACTTCTTGCTACTGTAAAGTTTTGCAGGTTTTGATTATTTTTAAAGCTAAAAAGTGACAACGGCTATAGAGGTGGAAGAAAAAAAAATAATCTCTTGTAGAATCACACCGGAAACTGGCAACTCGAAGGAAAAAAACTAGGTGGCTACAGCAGATCACGGAGCACATACACTTTTGCTAGTTTTACTCCAAGGAAGCGTGAACCTTTCGTTTTCTACGTGACAATGTGACTCAACCACGTCAGGTTAACTTCAGTCCTCACACAATCTTCTGGCAGGACAGCAATACAGTAAGAACATCAAAAATACTCGAAGCAGAAAGCATACTCAAGTAGACCTTTCACACGACAAAAATCATCTCTTTGCAGCTCTGAGGGTTCATCCTCTCTACCGTTCCTCCCTCCAAGCCATCGCAAGGCAAGGCAGAAGCACCGCGGGGCACCGGGCTCGGTGCCGAGAAGCAGCTCCGGTGCCTCAGACCATCACGACGGCAAAGCGTGGAGCACGTCTGAGCAGGGACAGCACTCCTGGGAAGAGTCGCTTGCTGCCGCAGGCTGGGTACACTAGTGCTCCTGCGAGGCTGACGAGCAGCGCTCACCTCCCCGTTACTCACCGGCCACCCGCCGGAGGGATCTGCTCCCTCAGCCTGCGGCCCGGGCTCACCCCGGCGGAGGCCCCTCACTCTGCGCAGCCGGCCGGAGGAGCTGGGCCGGGGG